CTTCCCATACGTCTGTCCTTTCACAACATGGCGCTTTCGACCACCACGGCGCACTCTCACGCGGTATATAATAAATCCTAGAAGAAACCTCTCTTCATGTTTTCCCTTTCTTCCATTTTATTCACTTTTTATTCGGTGCACAGCGAATTAAAACAGGAAACAGAGAGTCAAAGAGATCATAAAGTGGTACCTTGCTTGGCGCGATACCCCAATCTGCGTGCTTTCTCGGGGCGTGTTGGTCGTGAGACACGATGCACGGCCGAGAGTTGCCGGTACTGCCAGCATCGCACCCGCAGCAAATAACGCATCGTCTAAAATTTCATTTCCGAGTGCTATTCTAATCCAAAAACTCAGATGAAAAAAGAATACTGACATTTTGGCACTAAGACTGATTCTTCGACTGTGTAGCTGGCAACTTGCCCAGTTATTTTAAGCAGTGCTGCAGCATCTGCTGACCTGTTGGGGAACTTGTTAAGGTTCATTTTGCCCCTGATTTTGTTGAAGTGAACCGCTGAAGACAGTTTGAAAAGGCTGCAGCGTCGTCCACTCCCTTTCCAATTTGATATTTAAATTAGCAAGATGTTCCAGTCAGCTTATCGGCCGTATTTCGTGCTTTTCAGCATCATTCCCAAATGCTTCTTTAACGTAGAAATCGACAGAAAACTACTCTGAGGCGTACGCCAGCCTTAACAGTGGTTCCATCTTCTTCTTTGTCAGTTTTACCACTTTCTGAATTCCTGTGCTCACGCTTATGACAGAGTGCTTGTTCTGCATATACCGCATATTCGCATGCACAACATTCAGCCGTTCCCCGTTACCGAGCAGTTCAAACGAATGCGTTTCATGTTTGGAAGCTCCCAGTGATTCCCTGACCTTGAGTCCCGCATATCTTCGATAGCATGAACCATGAATAATCCCATAAAAATCTCCGCGAGCACAGCCATTTGCCTATTCCCTTATGAATAACGACATCGTCTGCCCTAAGTCAAATGCTTTTGAGACTTGCCATATGAATTAATACTCCTTTCTTGCAACTTCTGTTGTTGATATGAGGCAACCTGGAGGTGATGTGCCTTAGCAACTGGGTGCAACAACGCCAAAAATTTCGAAGTTTTCCTTTACAAGGACGGAGAAAGCAGATCGAGAGAAACAAACAAAAAAAATCAGCCCAACGGGCCAGAGTAGAATCCCCTGTGCACGAAGCTGTGGGCTGAGGAGAACCGAACACCTCTAATCGAAACTACATCCTAATCCTCAGCTTACTGATATTAACATTGCCTACACCCTTACTTCGCGCCCAGTAGTTTGAGCGTCTCAATCTGTATGCCTGACACCCTCAGCTACTACAGCCCCAATATAAGCATATTCATTATTTTCTGCAACAGATGAGCGGTGCTCAAGAAATCGATACGTCCACAGGAAAAAGTAAAATCCGATGATGGACAGGATGTGTTGCTTGCCTTGCCGACAACCGATGGACAATGCGCACTAGTGAGTGATGCCCACGAAGAAGTAAGCGAACACTCGAGCAACTCCGGCCAAGTTGGGGCACATGCAATCGAGCAGGCAACGGTATTTACAGGAGGCATGCAGCTGAGGATTGAAAAGCTGGCATAGCTGCACTTGGTGTGTGCAAACATCCCAGTAACATCACCAACAGGGAACGCCCCTACTGAGAGTCCATGAAATCGTGGTATTCTTGGTATTTTTTTTTCTTTTTTTTTTTTT